TAGTGGACGCCAAGTTATAGATGACCGGGTGATGAGAGCTGCATTTTACAGACACTAAGAGGCAGTTTAATATTTCTAAAAGTTACTCCTGTGGGAAAAGTTCAACATTTCGGGACAGATGCTTATCGACTCCTCCCGAGAGATGTGCGATCGATAGCGCTTTCCTGTCTCAGTTGGCCATTTGGGACTATTTTACAAACAATTAACACTTCAAGACTCCCTGCTAATCACCGCTGGAATAAAAGGAGCCTTTTAAAACAGTTGCATGAGGCTGACAGCGATTCTCCACAAGAAGCGGGATTCTTTTACATACTAATTCAACAACAAACTGCCATGAGAAACGAAATGACTCTCTGCCTTGTCAGAATTCAATTCAATGCCAGAACCAAAGAACAAGTAACTGGCTGTTGGCCAGAAACGGAGACCTGTGCCCTCAAAAATAAAGAAGGGATAAGTTGGGAGGAGAAACTTGAATCTGAAAAGTATTTCCTTACATCCCCGATGATGAACGCTGACATTATTTCTGAAAATCTTCCGAAACTATTCCAGTGTGTTCATTCGTAGACTTTAAAGTCATGTTTATTGTTGGCAGCCCATATTCTCACAGAAATACCTGATCAAAGCAGCAGCCGGACCGCCCTTTGTGACGGGCTAAAGACGGTGGAGCACATGACAATGGACATGTCTGATGCTTCTGCATCCATCCATCCATCCATCCATCCATTTTCAACCGCTTATCCGGGATCGGGTCGCGGGGGCAACAGCTCCAGCAGGGGACCCCAAACTTCCCTTTCCCACATCTACCAGCTCTGACTGGGGGATCCCGAGGCGTTCCCAGGCCAGGTGTTGGTGGGTTTGTAGTCTGTTTTGGCCTGGAGGCATCCAGGCCATGAGGTGGTCAGACTGTCCTAGGTGGCGGAGGGGGGCTGCCTTGTAGGCATCTGCCATGTTGGTATAGACCTTGTCCAAAGTCTTGTCTCCTCTCGTGGGGCAGGAGACATGTTGGTGGAATTTGGGGAGTACAGTCTTCGGGTTGAAGTGGTTAAAGTCACCCGCAACAATGAAGGCTGCCTCCGGATGTAAAGTCTGTTGCTTGCTAATGGCAGTATGCAGTTCATTCATTGCCAGTTTAGCATTAGCATCCGGGGGGATATAAGCTGCAGTCACAACAGTAGATGTAAACTGCTGTTATTGTTCCAAAACGTAAACCGGAAAAAGGATCCCAACTTGAACATTGCTACTGGATTTATAATGATTGGTGATGGTTTTGTGGAAAAACAAAATGTCCTTTAAGATTGGAATTTAGAAATAGGAAAAAAGCTGAATTGTATTTTTTTTTAATTGATTCTGTTTGTACATTGAAAAGGAGACAAAAGGCAGGTCACTGGGCTTTTGCTCCTTCAGTAAAAGAATAGGACTGGACAAAAAAAGACAAGTTACCTTTGATAATTGTTTTTCAGTTTAATTATACAAGCAGCATCTCTTGGAAATGGACTAGCGTGAAACAGTTTTTGTTTAATAAATTCATAACCTTCTAGGGGAAAACACATTTTTATGCAGCAACAAGCTGCTCATTGTGGCCGTGACGAATTCCAGTCACGGGTGTCGTGTTGGATCAAAGGCACGATTATTTCTATTGCATTTGGCATCGCAGCAACAGAACCTGAACCTCTGCGCTCGAGTATTTTTCTGCATAACGGCATGCGATCACTTCGGGGAAAGAATACGCGGCCGTGTGTTACAACCTGTGGATTTCCCCCCCACACCGCCCCCCTTGGGGGACAGTGATGGACAGGTCGGGTATGGGTTGGGGAAAAGCTCAGCAAACGTGTATCTGCACTTTGGTGTTGGATGTATTTGAATTGCAGCAAAGGCAAACATGCTTTGGCCCCCAGGGATGAGCTGTACGTGTCCTATAATGTCCATGATGGACAAGGCACAGCATAACATGCGACATGTGTGATGTGCAGCCAACGTGCCAACCCGGATTCCGTCCCACACACTTAATTGTACAATACGTGCATTCGCAGTTCAGTTTCGGCGTGAGCCTTCATATCAAACACTTGGCTTGTGATGTAGTTGTTTTTCTACCATGGCGTAACCGTAGCTAGCTGGTTGCAACACAAGCGAGATGGTCTTCTGCACGCTTTACATAAGATTAAATTCCTGGCTGATACCTAAATGTCTTTCTTGAGACAAAACAAAAACTGCTCCTGAGGTTTCTCTTGAAAACTTTCTGATTTTCTTTGTTGGTCGTAAGTCTTCTGTGACCTCGTTCTACATTCCCGTCTACATTTGATGTTCACAGCATTGGTAGCGAAGCTGACAACAGTTTTCTCTGTAAACCCTCTCCGCCTGCGATAAACCAAGAATCAATAGAAACAGGCATTCAAATCAAAAACCTCCGCCCGGCTAAACTAATTGTAGCTTGCATGTGAACATGTGAATCAATGACGTCATGCAGCAGGGCTTCTCCCCTTAATCTCATATCCTTTCTTTACCCCCCGTGTCTGTTTTCCATGCCTTTGCTCAAATGCTGGCCTTGTGCAGTCAGGCTGGTTGAAGGCACAATTTAATTAGCAAGTCAAGCGGTAAATTACCCCCAACAATTAAAAGTGCGCTCCTCTTTTTGTTGATGCCTACAGCTCTCTCCGGGCCAACGCGACACTTCACTGGTTGTGCGGCCGAGCCCCCCTCCAGAATGATGTAAATACAGTCGTGAGTGGCCTTCGCCAAGGAGCCAAGCTCCATTTCCTCCTGTCTTGGTGACTGACTGAGCTTTATCTTCCATTACAGAGCTGTGGCTTTGGCTGAGGACCAGCAAGCACCAGAGAGAGAACACAGAGTCCACTTCAAAAGCCCCAAACAAACGCCAAGCAGAAAATGCAAAAACACACTAAGCCGCTCTGTCCTTGGTGTTTTTCTTTTTCCAGAGGTGAGCAGGCTTGATGTCACCTTTTCATCGACCAAACAGGCTCTCTGAGGCTACCGGAGAGCTTGATTGGTTCTCTTTGAATTCCATAGGAAACGATGATAATGATCTATAGTTTCCTTTTGGTTCAGTCTCACCACTAGCGTGAGGATGTTTGGGAGCTGACATCTGTTTTAAGCAAAACCAAATATTCACTACCTGTACATGTGTGTAGGGAAACATGTGTTCCTAACTGCTTGGTGTGTAAATCCTTCTTTCCATAAAGAACAACTTCCTGGTTCATGTTGGATTAGTTGTTATGTATTCTAAATATTGTTTTGTTCCTTTATTACTTAAATCTGTTTTTAGTGTTATTATTACCGTTTTATATCATTTTGTTTGCATTGGGTGGAAGTTGTGTCAGCATATTTGTTTAAATACGGATCTTTTCTGAGAAGCAACTACTGTATTGGGACACGTATTCTGAAGTATGTATTCTCAATGTATATTGAACCCTCAAAGGCAGACAATGTACAATGAAGCTGGTCTGTGGTAAACAAGTCCGTCGAGTGATCACAGATTGCAGCTAAAAGGGTGACATTAGCAGAGATGCCGCGGAAGAAACTAAGATGGCGTGAGCACGCAGTGATTCATCATTGTTTAACATCTCAGCTCGCATTCATCTTTCATCTTAGAAGATGAATTCTAAACCCCGGGTTCATGTTTCCGCTTTCTGGAAAGACGGATGGAAGCGATGCTCAACAAAAGATTACAGAAAGTCACAGAAGCGGGTGGAACAGCAGCTAGCATGGGGGGTGACATCAGGATCGTGGCTCTCTAGAGTGAGTAATGAACGTGTTAAATGACCGCCCCGAGGACCAAGATGTCTCCTCACCGGGTGGGCGACACCTTTTTGAGAGCATTTGCTTTACATGACATTTGCTGGCGACGTATAAGGTAGTCGTACGGATTTTGACTCAGGGAGGCCGTTGTGTCAAGTACGATCACCAGACGCACGTTTTCTTCCGTGGCGTCGGAGGACATCGTGCCAGGCTTCTCGCTGAACGATTAATGAGCGGGAGGTACAAAGTCCAGATGTGAGGCACTGAAAGGACAGGCCTTTGTTGAACTGACTGGGTGAGCCGAGGGGCAGCGGAGGGCGACTGGAAAAATGAGGCAGCCTTTGCTAAATAAGTCTGGGTAATCCATCAGATGCCAGGCCTCATTATGGCTCCGCGGGTGCAGCATGAAAGAGAGCCGTTTATCTGGGTTTCCTGTTCTTCTTAGCAGCACTCAAGCAAAGGATAATAGCAGTCTCCCCCCCCCCCCCCTCCATCCCGCTGCAGACGCGCAGTGGCAAAGTCATCCTCTGGCCTGCCTTCCCTGGCCAGGTCTGTGGGCCGGCCTGCCAAGTTGTGAGGGTGACAGTGTGTTGTCCTTGCGTACAATGTTCACACGCGTATCCAGAGAGGCTCAATTCTTGCCGTGAAACCTTTTTTTAATGCCAGGTGCAGCCCCCCCCCCCCCCCCCCCCCCTTCACTGGCTGGGAGCCAAATCCAAAATAGTTGGAACTATTTTGAGCCACTCACTCTCGACACGATGACACACACGCGTCACCGAAATCATCGCAGTGGACTCGGCGTCTCTGACACGGGGGGGGGGGGGGGGGCATCTGCGCAATGCAGTATTCAAATGATTTTCCCTTTTCTTTTTTCTTATTGCGCACTGGTCTGAGGCTTAGAGAGCTCGAGTTTGAGTATTATGTTGTTGGAGAAGCGACTTGAATTCGGCCTGCTCATCCGTCACAGCTGACAAAACTGCTGAGCATGAAAATATAAAGCGGAATGTGCCAATTCAGGGTGATATAAGCAACACCACACTGTGGTATTGCTTATATTGGTATGGTGAATAAGGAAGCACACTAATAAACTTATGAGCGGCGCCAATAAAGATTACAACCATTACTGTTAAATCAACCATTGCTCCTAATTTCCTTTTGGAGGCGAGCCCGTCGGAGCGCTGGCGTGGTTACCAGAGGATGCCCTACCCTGTGAGCCCAGCGGAGGGCAGTGGGCGACAGTGGTGGCGACGAGCACGTCAGCGTGAAGGGCGGCGACGGCTGTGCAACATCAAGGAATCCCGACGTACGGCAGGCGGAGCGAATAAAACCGAACAAACAACAACAACAATGAGAACAAAACGGTACCAAAGCAAATTAGCCCAAAAGATGAATGGCTTCAGGGACCACCGGACAGAACCGGGGCGCCCGAGTGAACTTTTCAAATGAGGACATAGGAGGCGGGCTGCCACGGATAAGAGGTGGAGAACAGGACTGCACCCGAGCACTCTGGATTCCATCTTGGGGTACCTGACTGAGACGGACAGACGCCTGGGTGTGTATGTGAAGCATGCCGGTCAGTGTTGTGACATCCCTCTGCCTCTCATCCTCTCCCTTTCCCCCCACAGTCCTCATCAAGCGCTCATCAGGTCAGCACCCCGGCCATGGGGTCCTCGGACCAATCCCAAGACGAGGGTAAGGGCGATGTCATTAGGCAGATGTGCGTGGGGCTCTGCGATTGTGAGCGTTGTGTTTACATTCAAGCGCTCTACACACCTGTCTCGGCATAGCGGCCGATGATCTATTTAATTCATTTTATTTTGTAGAGCCCAAAATCGCAAATTACTAATTTGCCTCAGAGGGCTTTAAGGTCTGTACACAGACGACATCCTCTGTCCCGAAACCCTCACAGGGGCACAGGAAAAACTCCCCAAACAATGAAAATGCATTGAAAGGTTTCCAAAACCAGTTCACGGCTGAGGGAGAGTTCAAACTGAGAAGTGATCACACCCCCCCCCCCCCCCCCCCCCCCCCAAAAGGGGGAAGAATACTGACACTGGGATCCTCAACACAAACACGAACAGCACAAGCACCAACACAACCCGCTCCCAGACATTTTCCTCCCCTCTCGGTCCTTCCCATGCATGGCGATAATTGGGGCCTGTTGAGGAAGTCCCACTTCATCCAGAGAAACAATGAAGCGGGCGGCAGAGGACGTCGCCAGCCAACACAATTGGAGTCACAGAATGGCCCTACAGATAAAATCTCCGTCTGCGCCTCTGAACCCCCCGGGAGCTTCATCTTCGTGCCTATTCTTCAGGTGCTGGCATGGATGAACACGAAGGGGCCTAATTAAGGGTGGTTTCCCAGGGGGGGGTGGACTCGGCTGTATCATTCGCCCGGTCCGATATGCAGCTGGGCTGCTGTTTCCCATTTCTTTCTGCGGCTCCTACTTCAGGGCACAAGGCGCTCTCAGTCGAGTAAAAGTGGATGGGCGAGTCTGGAGGACACGTGGGACAGACCTCTCGCTTCTTGTCAGACATTGGAAAAATGTTCGAAACTGAGCCGTTTGGTCTTTGGGAATAGATTTAATCAAGGCAGGATTGATTACATTAACATTACAGTGGCTCATTATCAAGTCTTGATACTCTGACCACAAATGTCCTATTCATTGATGACTTAGTTGTCAGATTCCTTCAAGCTAAGGTACCCCAATGAATCAGATCAAATGAACTAATTAAATATCACAGGAGAAGAAAAGCTTTGTTATCTTCGGGGTGCGTAGCCTCCGTAGCTCTAGCAGCGATATCCAAACAGCCCGGAATTCATCCTCGCTATTCTATCCCTCACTTGCCATTCTTCCAAGCACAAAGCTAATATGCGGCGAGCCTGACAGTCGCTACGGTGCGAGGAGACATTTACATAAGCTTGTGTATGCTGCCATTGTGATGATAATAGGCGTGTGATCTCCTGTGTCAGCCAATGAGAAGAACATCTCATCCATTCAAATAGACGTGTCAGCCAAAGCATTAGTCTCCCCCATAATTGGCCACAGAGGTCACCCTGGCAAAGCAGGCGGGCGACATTTAATGCACCACGAGAACAAGAATCCGCCCCCCCCCCCAACCGACCGGCGGCCGTTTGAATCGGCCGCCGGTCGCAGCTGCCCGTCCAGCGGCTGTGTTTGTGTGTACAATTTTATTTAATGGTAACCATTAATATTACTCACGTCCGTCGTCCCTTTGGAGACACGCGGCCCGCCTCATCCCCTAAATATGTTATTCGTGGACTCTGTGGCTAAAGGCTGCAGCAGGCAGTTCAGGAGATTACAAACTAACATCGAAACCCAACCTTGAAACGGATGACACTGTCGTTAATCTCAGCATTCTGGCTTCATAATACTTTTTTCTTCTTCAGAAAACCACGAGGCCTTTGCCTCTCACACATATTTCCTGTCTCTGAAATGAGACAACAGGGGGACGGGAGAGGAACCGACAAAGAGCTGATGTTGACGGGATGAACCAAGACTCGAAAAGAACCAAATGTACCCGAAACGGTCAGTAACAAATCCTGGTTGTGCATGACAGCTTTTCTTGCTAACTGTCCTTTTGTCACCATTTCTGAACTAACTGTCAGAATGGACTTTTTCCGGGGTGGGGGGCGCGCCGCTGTTATAATGATGGGAAACGCTGAACTGGCAGCGGTCGGTTATCAAAACATTGGCCAAATGACCCCTTTTTCACAAATACAGAATCCCTTTGTGTTGATTTCTAAAGCCGCATAAAGACAGAAAGAAAGATAAAGTCACTTTATTTAGCGCTACTTGCATTCTGAATAAAGGCTTGAGGAGACGCCTGTTCGGCTCAACATCTGTGAGCAGACATTCTCTCTGCTGAACAAAAGCAGAATGACCGACAGCATCTCAAGTTCCTCCTGACCTGCCAGCTGTCCTTTGGACCAAAGCTGCATCACGCAAAATGCTTCCCATTACAGGGGAGTTCGAAATACACACACGGTTTTCGTTTGTTGATGATTGTGGTTTTGGCTCGGCTGCAAAGGGGAAAGAAAGGGGGAGTGGCCTCAGCTGCAAGAAATGAATCATTGTGTTTGTGTCCATGTTTTAAAAACACACGGCGGGCGGAGAGTGAGCAGACGGGAGAGCGGCACGCCGAGAGCACGTAAATACAAATGTGTCGACGGAACGTAAAATAAAATAAACGAGTGCTGAACAAACCTGCAGTGGTCATTCCAGAACCCTGAGATCCACACCCATGACACGAATGTGCTGGGTGTGCTGGCAGCCCGGTGCCGTGGGCCCGGCTACAGCTGGCTGCTTAAACGTAGGTAAGGTGGTCGTAAGTAACGTGCATATCGTGTGTCACCTGACCTCGTCGTGTTTTAGAATCCGTACTCGAGGAACAAGAAGAGTGGGTTTATTGAAATACCAGAAGGGGCGGGTTGGAGGCGTGGCCCAGCTCCCGAAATGCGCTAATTAGCTTCAATTGTCTTCTCGTGTCTCCCTTCATACAGGACAATGAAGGGGGATCAGCACCCTAAGAACCAGTCTGAGGCTCACTGAGAGAATGACCTGCCAACCTATTTGTAAAATTAAAATCTACTAATGATTGAGCCTATTTTTAGCTGCGTTGGATTGATTTTTCCAATATTAGTACATTAGAAGTGAGGCAGTATGTCTCAGGTCTACTGAGTGGCCCAGTCCTTCGTATATTTTTCTGTATGTGGCCCTCGGGAAAAAAAGTTTGCACGCTTGTATAAACTGTATATAAATATATAGTAACAGTACTTTATAACTGCCAAAGCATGAAAATTGCATTGCAGTAGATACATTTTGTGGGGCGACTGTGGGTGAGTGGGGAGCAGGTCGTCCTCCAATCAGAGGGTTGTCGGTTCCATCCCAGGCTCTGCTGACCCGCATGTCCATGTGTCCTTGGGCAAGACACTTAACCCAACATGGCTCCTGTAGCTGTGACTACAGTGTGTGGATGTTAGTGACTGATGGGCAGGTGTCACTGTGTGTGGTTCTCCTGTCATCAGTGTGTGAATGGGTGAATGATGTCATCAGTGTGTGAATGGGTGAATGATGTCAGCAGTGTATGAATGGGTGAATGATGTCATCAGGGTGTGAATGGGTGAATGATGTCATCAGTGTATGAATGGGTGAATGATGTCATCAGTGTATGAATGGGTGAATGATGTCAGCAGTGTATGAATGGGTGAATGATGTCAGCAGTGTATGAATGGGTGAATGATGTCATCAGTGTATGAATGGGTGAATGATGTCATCAGTGTATGAATGGGTGAATGATGTCACGTAGTGTTAAAGCGCTTTGAGTGGTCAGAAGACTAGAAAAGCGCTGTACAAGTACCGTCCATTTACTGAGGTCTACGGATCATAAATACATCAAACACGATTCCATACATTTCTTTACGGCCCGACACTATCCGCGGTAAACTTTAGGAAGCCTTTTTATTTCTATTTTTTTGGTGAATATTCTTCAAACCCATTGGAAGGATTTGTGTGTTGGCCTGAATACTGCCCGCAGGTTCCACTCTAAGAATATGAGATGCAGCGGCTTGAGACAATATGAGAAAACACTAGATATCCAATAATATGTAGACAGTAACATAATCAAACTGTGGTAATGAAATTCCTGCTGCAACAGTGTGCGTCTGAATGTCAGGCTGGAGAATGCGTGAAGTCACTAAAGGTTACTGAATGCTAGACAAAATTTGCAATGCTCTGGATGGCTTATCAACAACTACATGACGCGGTGAATCCCAACAGTCCGTTCGTGGTTGTCAGGGAGACCGGTCCGTTTCCCATCGGGTGCGGGATTAATGTGCATCTCATATCTGGATTGTGTCAGAATGTGATTTATCCGGATTATCTTTGAAGATTACATTAAAATCTGACTCCAGCATTCACAATAAAATTCGAACATACCTTTGCAGCACACACACCTGCCTTCTTCACGTCGTTTTTTAAAACCGTTTGTAAAAGGCAGCCGATCTTGTCTCGTATTCACACAAAAGGTTCTCTGAGAACAAAGATACACATTGATTCTGTGTATCATTCTCACCTTTTGTGTGGATGAACTCATTTCTTAGTTTTCCCTTTGTTAGTTGCAACTTGCCTTTTCAAAATAAACCTCCATCTGACCTGGAAGTTTAGGTTGAGGAAACAAAACGAGGAAGGATTTGACAGATTCATGAAACAAGTCATGAAAGTGACCTGCGAAAAGCTTAATATACTCAATATAATGCCATGGGATCCAGATGTTTCCATTGCAACCAATCCCAACATCCATCAGTTACTAATTGTGGACAGCAGGTGAAAAGGAGATGTTAGGAACATCCATGTCACTCTTTTCCTTACAGTGCAACTATTCAGGATCAGGAAGCATTTATCACCATAATGTGTCACATACAAGGAATTTGACTTGGCGGTTGGTGCGTAACAGCAGCCGACAGACAACAGTAATATAATAACATATAATGCTATTCCAGAGAGCGTGGACAACATTTAAACCTTGAAATGTTTGTCAGTTTGGTGATTTAACATTGGACGTCATATTATAAACATTTGTACAGCTTTGGCGGATCAAACAAGAAGGAGCAGCCTTTCTTTAGCCTTCCTTTATTGTCAAATCGATCCATCTGGTGTGACAAATTGCAGAGACAACAAACGGGACTGAATTCTCTCTGGCATGAAGAGAGGTGATAGGATCGCATCATGTGACTCATTCTGTTAAGTGTCCATATCTCTCAAAATGAACAAGGGAACGGACGTTCTCTGTGTGATTCAATGAGGAATTTCCATTTAAACAGCATCGTTTAAAACGGTTGCGGTAGAGATGGAGAGCGAGAGAAAGGCCGAGCACATTGAGAAAAACTGCCACGTACACTTCCTCTAATGCTGGGCTCCACCCTCCGGTGCAGAGTGTATGCATGACTGAAACACAGACTGAAATGCAACTTGATCATTTCATTATATTCTAGCAGTTGAGTTACCTCCATGAGGATCACTGCTTCTTTTGATATCATAAAGCCATTCAGAGGGAAAGGAGCTGAGCTAAGTGAACAACAACATGCTGCACCATGTTTTCATTTTTATTATTCAATGTGAGGGAATATCCACACCATCAATAATAGGACAGCATTTTAAGCAAACGCGGCCCACGTCCTCGCACAGAGCAAGGATCGCTGCTGACGGTTCGGATGTAAGCAAACAGAAGTGTAAGTGATCTAACATGCAGTTACACCACACAAGGTGTCTGGAGCTTCAAGTTCCTCCTCAGGCGTAATCGGCCTCTCAGCAGCATGGAATTATTTTCATGAATAGTCGACAGCGGGGAAGCACCCTGCCAATAGACCTGTTTTCATTAGCATACGGTATATAGGAAGTCTGCAGACGTATTTTCACTTTGCAAACATCTTTGTATCTCCAGTCATATTAGAAATGATTGCCACTTGGGCTCTTTTGTTTAAAAGAGTGGCAAACTGAGTGTTTGTGTGAATAGGCCTGTGTCGAGGCTACACGCATTATACAACGAGGCTGCTAAAAAAAACCCTCAATGTTCTGAAATAATTTCAATAGACGATAGAATGCATTTGTTTTTCCAGCCACAGGAGGTTCACGACCGCTGTGTGGGGGTCCTCCTGTCATCTGTGTTCTTTTGATGTCCCACTCTCGGCTGTGACCCTGTATACCTCTGTAGATGTTGTGCACACAAGGTCCCATTTGCAAAGCTTCCATAAAAAAAATAATGTTGTGTAGTTTTTACAAAAAAAGTTTGTCTTCACTCATTCGCATTCATTGTATTTTATTCTGAATCCACTGTTTGAGAGACCAACGTGTTTTCACTCATCATAACACAGCCGCAGAAAAGAGCAGACACTCAAGTCCTATTCAGCCACAAAAGATTACAGCGACTAATAAAAAAAGGGACTCATCAAACCGCCAAACTTTGTGGATCTGGCCGTGGCCGCCCGCCACCCCCCGAGGCTTTTCCATCACGGCTGCATTGTTCGCTTGAAAAATAGGCTGTTCTGAAAGAGCTGTGTTTGAAACTGCTCAGGGGAGGTTATGGGGTCAGCAACCTCCTGATGCCCCCGCCCCCCCCTTTTTTGTCCTCCGCCATTTTGTCCTCTCATCCATTTGGGCTCGCACCTGCTGAGCGCCGTCAGAGGAGCGACTCGGCCTCGCCTCAACAACAGCAACAGACAAACTGTTGTGGTGAAGGTCACCCCTCTGAGTATGAACGCGTATGTATAAATGGCCATGGATGGATGCGTGCATCATAATATGTGTTTATGACAATGGTGTAATGCTCAACAGCAAAATGCTAGAACAGAATAAAGAAATGCAAGAATAATTGACACCAGAGCCCCCTCCCTTTCTCAAAAAGGCTTAAAATGAGTGTGGTTCTTTTAGAGAGTGGCCAAGAAGATGACCACCAGATCTCGTTATCGCAATCATCAAACCGAGGATTCTGCTCCTCCGAGGCGAGACATTGAAAACCAGGAAAAAAAGTA